GGAAGGCTCCCGCAGAGCCATTACTCAAAGAAAACCATTTTGTTATTCCAGAAAGTCTATATAAGTTGAATTTTATGATTGTCCTTAACCACTGTGTCAAGAGAGTGTTTTATTATATCTTCTGACTTTAAAATAGGAAAGTAGTGATCCTTCAGGAAACTGATTTCATGGAGAGATTTTTTTTTAAACATACTGTGGCAATTGTTTACATGTGAGTGAATTTTTCTAAATAGCATTTGAGAGCATTTCCTTCTGAAGTACAAAAGCATCCATCATAACATCTTATTTCCCCTATTATTTTGTTTCATAAACTCCTTTATCTGCAAACTGAACAATGCTCTTATTTTTATAGTACTATCATAATTACGAATTAGTGAGGTCCAAATTACGAGGTTTTTCTATGGCTACACAGGAGCCTCTACCACTCCATGAAATCCCTCTCAGCTACCCAGCTCTGCATTAGAATTCCTCATACTAAATTTTATAATTTCCGACTTTGTTTTCCCAAATTTTTCCCCAAAGGATTAATAGGTCTTTAAATAAAAACAGAATTTTGTAAAGAGAAGTGAGACGTAGAGGAGAAAAAGAGAAGAGGACCCTGTAGAGCCAGAGTTTCCTTACTAAATGATCTCACTCTCCCCTCTGGCTCTTCACACTCAGCCCTGCCACCCCACAAAGTGTCTTCTTGATGGGTACAACTCTGTGTGACAGCTCCAGTGACACTGGCTACAAATCATTGTAGATTCAGACATGAGTCACAAAAAGGTCTTCTTTTTCATCATTTTTAAGCATGGAATCATCCCTCTAGGCATCAAGTGTTTCATCACTCGAGAAGAGTAGACAAGAGAGTCTTGGAGGAAAGACGAGGAACCGAAAAGCAAACTGTAGGGTAGTGTGCTGTGGTCTAAACATGCAAAACAGTGCTATATTTTATTCAGGGGCACACATTTGTAGCAGTAAATAAATTGTCACAAACCTGGTCAGCGCCAGAACTTTGTGGCCTGATTTGATCAGCAGCCCATTCTGTCAAGTAACTATTCCTATTAAAAAATAATTGAGCAATTTTTGTTTGACCTTAATATTGGCTAACCGTGAGGCTTGTGACCTTTAACAAGACATTTAACCAGGCCGTAGCCTTCATACAGCCTTAGGACCATCCTAATAACCCTTGACTGGTCTTTCTTTTCTTTTTCTTTTTTTCCTTTTCTTTCTTTCCTTTTTTGTTTCTCCTTCCTTCCTTCCTTCCTTTTTTTTCTTTCTATTCTTCTTCCTTTAATTTCTCCCTTCTTGTTTCCCCTTCTCTTCCTCCTTCTCTGTATTGTGTCCTTCTTCTTTCTATTGTTTCCTCCTTTCCTATACATTTTTTTTTCATGCTTTTTAAGGAAGTCTCAAATGGCCCAATCAAGGGAAAATTTTTAAGCTGGCCTCCTCATGAACTTTTTCCTTTTGCAAAAATCAAAACAAATCCTTAGTACTTAGATCATCTAAGAAGTTGTTTATTAATAATGCCATAATAGCAGTAGTTGCAATAATATACAAATGCATAGAAACAATAGAGAATTCAGAATAGTTGTTGCCAATAGTGAGGAAGAATGAAGAATGACATTGGAAGGACATATGTAGAACATTAATTGAATCTATAGTGACTTATATTCTGGAAAATGTTGTTAAGATATGTTAAAGCTGGGTGGAGGATAATAAGTTATTCTTTCTATTATTCTCTCTTTTAAACATAATGTATTAGATTGCAATTTGTCAAAGTGTTCCAGAAAATAAGAAAATCCTGTTAACCTCTCACCAGGAACCAGCCCTTGTCTTTCTGCTCCTCTTTCCTCTCGGCTTTTCTTCCTGTTTCCCTGACCTCTTACACCTCAGATGTGCCAAAAAAATTGAGTCTTGAAAAATTTTTGAAAATTTCCTCCAATTATTAAAAGTACTTTATAGAAAGGGTGTCTTTCATAGAAGTCTAAAGTTACAACATTGAAGTTAGTGGCTGGTAAATGCTTGTACAATATCATTTTTCACGTGTCATTTATATAAGAAACAGAAGTGGTAGGCAGTTCCTAGTCTAAGCATTTTGTAATCTAGAAAGGAATATTACAACTACCAACTTCAGAAGTACTACCAACTTCTGCAATTTTATAGATACTAAGAAGAGTTGTTGTTCTGAATTAGTTTCAATACTGAATTATACCTCATTAAAAAAAATTGTGAGATGGGTATTATCAGTTCCACTATTAGAAGTTTATTTCAGGTATATTTACACATGATCTATATATGAGCTTTGTTTGTTATAGAAAAAGACTGGAAATAACCAAAATATTAATCAACATGGATCTAGTTAAATAAATCAGGTACATTCATGCAATGAAATACCATGCATTCAATGGAATGCAACATACTAGATACCCTAAAATAAACAGAATCCTAAGATACATTGCAGAGTAAAATAAAGTAAGACGATTAAACAGACACTAATAAACCAAAATAAAGAGCAAAATAAAAGTATTGCATTCTATAATTTTGTGAGAAAACAAAGTGTATACACACACACACACATACTTATATATGTACATATGAATATGCATAGACTAGCTCTGTATGGTATTGGAATTGGATCTAGAAATAGGATGGAAGAAACTGGATAGTTAGGGAACAGGAGTAGGAGGGAGATGTTGCACCCTTTTATGCTTGTTAAATTTTATACTGTGAACCCATATTACTTTATAATAAAATAAAATTACATAGAACTACATGTAAAAAATAAATTGGAAATAATAGAAGAAATGAGCGCAGAGAAAAAAGGATTGAAAGTAAAGACAGATCCTTCTCCTTTCTTTCTTTTTTTCTTCTGCAATATATTTGTAGAATTCTGGAGTGTTGGAAGACCAATACTCCTGCACTTATAGAAACAGTAAATGAGGTAGAGGTTGAAAGGGTATGCAGTCAGTCCTGAATGTCCTGATGTGTTTGGCTGTCATCAACCTGTGAGTTTGCCAAGGTCAAGTATCCCTTATGTGGAGGAATGAACATTCTTCCAATTATCTTCCCTGGATGACTTTGAGCTCTTTAAAGGCAGCTACTAGGTTTATGGATTTTCTGATCATCTTGCACATTGGGAAATCTGGCTTCTCGTGAGTGAGGTACTTAGTAAATCCCCTACATGTGAACCTTCAAGTTGCAGACTTTCAAAGATGCAGATGTATGTTTTTTAAATGTATTATTTCTCTCCACTAGGCGTCATTATAGCCTGTTAAGTACATACAGTACTACAGGTATAGTCCCTCATGTTAGTTGGGTACCTAGGCTAACTTTAATGGACTTACAACAAAGTGGACCTACAAATGCACTTCCGGAATGGAAATTATTCAGTATATGACTCACCGTACATATACATTTGGTTTGAATTGGACAACTGACTGATTAGGGTGGGGAACTGGGGGTCTGTAGTGAATTCAGTGCTATGAGAAGGAATAAAGTTGCCATTTGCATTTCAAGGGACAAGGGATTGTCTCTTGCTATTACTACTATCTGGGACAGCAAACAAGTTTGAAACATTGACATTTTAAGTAATAAAAGTCGTGACCACTGCTAAGTAGAGTTCCAGTGATTCCTACTTTAAAACAGCAAGAATAATTTCTAGACAGAAGAAGTATTGTTTATATGCAAACGCTTTTGCTTAAGTGGCTGTAAGTGCAGGGAAATAATTCACTTTTCAGTAGACTGAACACCTCTGTTATGTCTACCTTATATATTTGTTTTGATAATCCTTTTTCTAGTGCAGTAATGACTTAAACCAAGTCATCTTCTAATAATATGTTACAATATAGAATTTGGAATTCAAATTTTGTGAAGATTTATATGTTTTCCCCTCCATGGAAGCTGTGATGAAGGAGTTTTAGTTTTTAGTAGCATAATTCCAGAAAAATATTGCAGGTTTCCATTCTCCTAACTGACCATGAAGGTATATATTCATATGCCTGCATATTAACATAGGCAAATGTCTCCAATCTGATTATTGCACAGCATTAGCATTCTGGAGTGAATAGTTTTCAATTACTAGAGGTACTATCTTGTGTAAAGCTCATTTGTCCTCATGTACAGTTTTTCTTCCAATTGTACTGAATTCCAATTGCATTGATTAAAATGTGAGAATGCAAGTCTGTAGACTGGTAGGTTGGTAACAGGTGGGGGGGAGAACCTTCTTTTCTCCTTGAAACCTTTTAATGGGACTTTGTTCCTGAGAAAAGTGTATCCTTTTGAAAGCTTTGCAAAACAAAAATACAAAGAAAAAGTTCAATGAAAATGGGTTATTATTATTTAACTAGTTGTCTAAATATGCATCTGGAAACAGCCATAGGAAATGAGATAATCAGCAGTGTTTTAAGATGAATCTGTTTGCACTTGATATTGGTGTCATTATGAGTCCTGGTAATTTCACATTAGCCTTGTTGAAGGACTAGATGGTGTGAGCAAGAGCTGCAGAACATGTGATTTCCCCTCCAACCCTGGCTAGGGCACTCACATTTTATAATCTAGCATTTATGTGACCCATTTTTAGTTGAAGACTCTTGTAAAGCTACGTTTGTCAGCCTTTGGAAACCCATGGTGCTTCTTGATCAACACAATCATCTCACAACTTCTTATGTTATTTAAAATTTCAAAACAAATGGAACTGATTTTGTGCCTAAAACCAAATGAAACTCATTATAATAGAGGGGATACTTTTTAAAACCACATCTACACCACTCTGAAAATTTTTATATCTTGAGGAAAGAGAAAGAGAATGAAGGGATGAAAAATCTCCTGCACTGCAGGATGGGCAGTTTCCTCAGGAAAGCTTGGATGGCCTTGGCCCTCTTTACGGGGCACAATTAGGGTCTTTGTGCTTGGGGAATGGAGACAGACTGGTGGGCATTCACTCCCTCTCTCAGAACAAATGTCTTTAACTTTTGTTTTCTGTTTTGTTGTTGTTGTTTTGTTTTCATCATTCCCTTTAGAGCATTGTGTGCACTGGCCGGCGTCAATGGCACCCAGACCCTGTCCTGATCTACTGCATCGAGTCCTGTGAGGTAAGCCAGCTCCCATTTCCCTAACCTTGGCTAGAGAAAACTCTGAGCTTCACTTGAGGAACTTGAGTCCTTCTAATTCAAGATCCTGTTCCTTCCCCACTCCTCTTTCCTTTGTTTAATTTTTTCAATTAAATTGACTCCACAATCCCAAATTTACAGAAATTAGAATTTCTGATTTTTGTTTTGTGTTGTTAGCAAAATCTTTGGAGTTTCACTTTAAATGACTTAGTAAAAAAAATAATTTAACAAGTAAGTCAGAATTATTTATGGTTTGGGGATTCTGTAACTGGGCCTTGTTTGAACTGAGTTAGCTCAGGGTTTTGGAGACTGATGGCCTACTGTCAGGTTTGTTTGGCCAGCACAGTGTCTAGAAACAATTTTTTGTTGTTGTTGCCAATGTTTAAAAATTGAGATTTTTACATAAAATTCATGTGTGCACATATAGCAACACACACACACACACACACACACACACACACACACACACACACACACCCCAAATGAAAATAAATCAGCAAATCCTTCTCTCATGAGAAACAAAACTATGTGACAGCCATGACCATAATTAGCTGGATCTGAGTAGCAGCTGCAACCCCAAAGGGGCAACTCTCTCCAATTAGCACAATCCTCACCTTTCCCTAAGATTACTTAACCTGGTAGCTTCCTTCACTTCAGATAACTGTCTGGGTCATGCAGACATTGATGTTTGCGTCCTCTTAGGTAGACCTGTTGTCCGCTGTTGATTAATCATACTAGACCTTTACTGCTTCAAGAAATCCTGTCTATTTCTTCACACAGTGGATTTCCCAACTAATGGAAGGACTTAGGGTGCTGTGACTTCCTTACTTAGATGAATTGGAGTTAATGTAAGAGTCAGGAATAAGGCAGAGACTCGTTAAGGGAGGATGACCCAGGAAAGGTGACGTGGGGAAGGGTGATACACACACACACACACACACACACACACACACACACACACACACACACATTCACACACACACTCACACACCATTCAAGCCCTTTGGAATAGCCAGTGACAGATACAAATATTCTGGTCTCAGTCACATTAGGTTTGGCCATCCAGGTCTCATACTAGAAGTAAATAAGCCACATAGCAAAAATGCCTGGGTGGTTCTGGTTCTTCATTGTGGGACAGAGAGAGTCCTTTAACTGCCACTGATTTCCAGCATCCTCCCCCAGACACACCCAGCCCACAGGCACATTCATTCCTCTATTCTTCTGTATCTCTGTGTCTCTCAGTCTAATTCTGGGAAACTGGGATCCACATGAGGCCAGAGAAGGGGAAAGGGTGGGGTCTGAGAGAAAAGGGAAAACTGGGTGGGGAGATGATACCAATAAAATCCCATTCTGAGAGTGCATCAGGAAAAATGCTAGCGTGGAGTGTGCTTTGTTATGGCGTGGGCCAACAAAACAGCTCATCTTCTGCCATCATTAGAAAAACAGATGGCAATGAGGCGGGGAGGCGGGAGAGAGGGGAGTGAATCATCCACTGGGCATGGGGTAGGATGGGGGGAAGAGGAGGCCAGGGAAGGAGGGAGATAAACAGAGGACTGGGGAGCTGGGAAGAGATCAAAGGGATCCTAAGAATTCCCTTCTGCTGCTTCTATGCATGATCTCAAATGGGAGGGTGGATGGCAGGGCTTGGAGCTGGCTTCGGTGTTTCCCAGAAGATTCCCCATTCGTCGCAGAGCTTTCCCATTCGTCGTCCTCCTTTCTCCCTATACCCCAGGATGTCCACTGAGTCGCTCATCCAGAGCTTCATCAGCTGCTGTCAGTCCCTTTACTGATGTGGCAAGGAACAAGGGTCTGTCCCTCTGATGGCTCCCAGGCCATCAGTTGCTACCATGCACAGCTGAGCCTTGAAAGTTGTTGGTTCCCCCACACCAGTGTTCTCAAAGGGTGACCCCCGGACCAGCACCATTGTTGGTATCACCTGGGAACCTGTTAGAAATGCACATTCTCAGGCCCCACCCCAGACCTACTGGATCAGAAATCCTGGGACTGGGGTCCAGCAGTCTGTGTTTTAAGGATTCTAAGGACCACCAATGCTTGAGAACCACTGTGGGAGCTGACAAGAAACTTCCTAGCCTGTACATTCCTAACTTTATGCTTTCTTCATCCAGGAATAATTCTAGCCAACATTATTTACATTCTGATTGTTCGACACCATTTCCTGAGACTCTGGGTAGGAAAAATTTTTAAAAACTCGTTATCGGTTCCTGGTCTGTCAGCAAAGGCTGGAAGGATGAAAAACCACTTGCAGGGTGGGAGGGAGATGCCACGATGAAGAAGAGTCAGTAATTGTAGGATAGGAAAGGGGATTGGAGGAGAAGAAAGGAGGAGAAGAAAGGGAAACATCTGAAGAAATAAGTAATACATGCAGAGGAGGAGGGTGAAAATGAGAAAGAAGGAGGAGGGAGACTGAAACTGGCATGTTCTAGGGGCAAATTGGCAGGCACTTAATTCTTTACTGGAAAAAGTCAGCTAAACATATTAGCAAGAACTAAAGAGTGTCAAAGACAGACAGAGGCAAAACAGACCTGGAAGCAAGATACAGCAAGAGGACTGGGGGAGAGGAAGTTTTAAAAAGTGCAACCCAGAAATCTCAGTTCAAATGAGGTACTTTTGCTACCCAGGATCCAAAAAGTTTTCTTTTTTTGCTTTCCTGTATGTACTGAATAGAATTCCAAGATGCCTCTTTCAGATAATCAGCTGTGTAAACATGGAGTGCCTCATCTGTTATTTCTCCCAAGAAGCCCAAGACAATAAGCACATCACCTCACTATCTCCAGCCCATATTGTACTCCTGTTCTTTCTGCTTCTGTTTGCATCATATTATCTTTGCCATAGAAATTTTGCTTTCAATTCTCCAGTAGTCTGTGCTACTCACATTTTCTGAGGCACCTTAAGACTTCCCCTAAAAAATCTTGTCTAAATAACCCCATCTTCTTATTGCCATCATCCTGGCAAGAACATATGTGTTTTACATATCTGCCATCCAAATTTATTTACTCGTTAAATTCTATTTTTCTGGTTATTGCTTGCATTTGGCCTTTTTGACATGAGCACACCTTGTATTTTTCTGTTTCTCCTGCAAATTGCAAATGAGAAAGGAATGGCCACTTCATTGTTGAAAAAGTTTTGAAGTGCAACAAATTTAGATTCAAATCCTGGATGGGCTGAGTGGTGTGAGCCTCTGGATTAATCTGTCTTGGGCAGTGGAGCAACAATACTATTTTAAGGAGTTGCTAGGAGGGGTTATTGTGATAACATACATACAGCATTTAGTGTCATGGCTGACCCATAGTGGGTTCTCAAAAAGTGGTGTCATGCGTTGCAAGCTGTTAGCCACCTCGTGAATGTTTACTGAATGAGTAGAGCAGAAAGCCAGTGCATCACTGCTTGTGTGGCCTCAGTGTCATTAGGAGCATGCTCTGAAGATGGGAAAAAGGAAAGGAAAGGAGAACATATTGGTTGACCCACTGAGATCCGTAGTTCACACATCACTCAGAGACAGTTAGTTGTCGTGTCCCATCAGCCACCAGGTCAGCTGGCAACAGATCACTGCAAGAGAAACTCCTCTCATTCCTACAGTCACCCTCACTAGCTGGGGCCTCAACATTTCTCACCTGGGCTATTGCAATCATTTCCTAATTGTCATCTCTGTCCCCAGATCTGTGTCCATCAATTGCCAATATTCTTTCTGTTGCTACCACTGGATCCTTTCCACTGTGTCTCTTCTGCTAAAAATATCTCAGGAACTTCCCTTTTGTTTTCACATTTTAGTCAGACCCCTTTGCAAGTGGTTGATGGGCCTTTGCCTTTCAGCCTCATGTCTTTTCAGATCGCTTTGTGCCCGCTCACCTCCTGATATAAGAAGCCTCTTGCAGTAAAGTGTTTTGGAAAATGCTGGAGCTTTGCGCTGCTTGATCTGGGATATTGGTCCCACTTGCTGGGTGACACGGGACAAGTTACTCTGCCTTCTTGTGCCTCATTACCCTCAACGAAGTTTTAATAGGGTTGTTATAACAGGGTTTTGATAGTAATACTTATTTCATAAGGTTGTTGTGAAGATAAATGAGATATTATAGGCAGCAAACTCAATCTAATGTCTTGTACATAATAAATAGTATCTACTTCTATCATCAATTACAGAAGTATTGTTATCACCATGTGCTATTTTATACCCTTTACCTTAGTACATGTTGGGTCCCCTTCCTGGGACTCCTTCCCAAATCCACCCCAGTTTCTTTAAGTCAGCGGTTCTTCACTGGGGGTAATTTTGTGGCCCCCACTCTTCACGTTAGAGGAACTTTCTGAAGACATTTTTGGTTGTCACAAATGGGTAAATGGAGCGAGCTACTGTAATCTAGTGTATAGAGGTCAGAGTTGTTGCTAAACATCACTTAATGCACAGGACAGCCCCACAATAAAGCATTATCCAGTCTAAAATATCAATAGTACCTCTGTTGAGAGGCTCTGCTCTAGACTAACTCCTATAAATTCTTCAACACATTTTTCAGACATTTCTCCTAGTTGGAATATTTAATGACTGGGACTCTACCCACCACTCACCTCTGACTGTGGATGAGTTACATAATTGTGTCTATTTTGCCACTTAGCACCTTAGGAAAAGTATTGGTGTCCAATATGCCTTTCTCATGACACGATGGTACTTGCAAGTTGAAAATATTGTCTTTTTCATTACTGTATCTTAGCTACTCAACACAATGTCTGAAACAGTTGGGGCTCAAAAAAATTTATTGTTTGAAAGAATAATTTAATTTGTACATTGCCTATAAAATTATAGATAAGCATACAAATATTCTATAATAACTATGAAAAACAAGCACTCTGTCAAATGTCCAAAAAAGTACACTATTTGCTCAGCATGGAGAGAGAACAAGATGGGGGAAAAAAGAGAGAGAAAATGGTTTTCCTCATCTTGAAGGGTAGTAAATGAAGTGAGTGTTCATTTC